CACAAGTTTGCTTTCCTGTCATTTAAAATGAAAATTAATGTCAAAGTCAAATTCAAACGCATGTTTTGGGCATTTCACTTTAATGAGCTTTTGAACAAAAAAGCCTACAAATTCTTCTGCTGTAAAGGAAGTTTCTCTAAAAAGCTTTGCAGCACTGACACTGACCGTTAATAGACTTAATCAACATCAGTACATTTAAAAAAATCACATTTAAGATGTTTAGTAAAATTCAGGCTTCTAAAGGCAGCGCTGAATGAATCTGATGAGCTTGTTTGTGACATAAGAGACAGACTTACTAAAGCTAATAAATCACCTTGGCTTGGGCTGTATTTTATTCTGAAATGTGCCAAAGATCCCTCTGAAAGAAAGCTTCATTGTGTTTTCACTTTCTTTTAACTTTAGCCAAATTTACAGCTTGTTTCACTTTGACTTCTTTGAGGTTCAACATTTTTATTTTGTGCTGTAAATCAGACGCCATCAAAACACAAAATCTGGACAACACATGTTGCTGTGACATCAGCTGCTTAACTCTGTCCAAATTGTGAAAATTTTCACTTTAATGAGCTTTTGAACATTAAATCTAGCTGCACCAGACCTGATCACCGCCACTCCTGTATAAAGAAATAGCATCACTAGAACCTTTGACAACACGAAGCAGGATGAAAGATCTCAAAAAGCAACATTTCATGTTCAATTCTATATCTAAAGCTTTGAAGTCCTCAGCTAGTTATGGCTAAGGTCAAAGGTCAAGATTCAATAAAAAGAAAGAGACAAAGGGCAGTAAAAGCATTTATGAGGAAGTTTCAAAGCCAAAATCTCTGCTGTTTAAGAAGAGCACAAGACACATTGTGCCGGCAAATCAGCGTAATATTACCACAACAATGTGTCTCATAAACGCACCATGCCAGCTTGGCGATGCACGAATTGTGCGGCATTCTTTCTGCCTCGCTTGGTAGTAATATTGCAGTAATTGTCTGTCTTATAAACAGCGATTGTCCCTTGGCTCAACAGAGGGAGGTCTCATGATCACATGGGGAGTTACAGCCGAGCTCCGGCCGGCAACTATGTGAAAAATGAAAGTTAAAACGGGCCGTAAGTTTTGCTTCTATAAACAGAATCAGGTGAGATGATAATCTGGAGCAACGCAGCGCTCCTGGAGCTTTTCTCTGTTAGAGCTGGAGGTCAGATCACCAGAGACTAGACAGGGACTGTGGGGGACAGACACCTTTAGGATTGCCTAATCTTTTGTAAAAAGGACACGACTGCGCCAGATTACGGCCAAGGTCTAACCACTAAACGACCTAAGGCTTCCTGATGCCGCTTCAGCGTTGAAGCAAATTGACGGCATTGCTTTGTAAAAGCGGTAACATTTACCTAAAATCATCAAGATGTTCTCAAAAATGTTAGGGAAAATATTTTGTGGACCGGTGTTCCAACTGGATTAAACTAACTGTAGTTCACAAACAGAAGATCTCACGGACAGTCAAACATGGTGGTGGTAGTGTGATGGTCCGGGGCTTCTTCAGATGAACTATGAATTCTCCTACCGGGAAATCTCTAACACCATCTGACCTTTGACCTTAAACTTTGACCTCCAGTTTGGCTAAATTAAAATGAAAATCTGCAAAAAAAATTCCTTCACAGAGACACTCACTAATCACAAATAAGTGATTGCTGTTGTTTCCACTTTAATCAACAAACTCACCATTTTGTATTCAGTCTTTTATGTTTGCTGATCTGACACAAAAAAGCAAAAACAGAAGTCTGTGAGCCGGCAAAAACTTGCTCACAGTGCTGTCTTTTAGTTTCGAGCAATATGTATGATCATTTGAACATACTTGTCTCTTAGTTCCTAAGTAAAATCAGTTCCTTTCTGGGAAGTATAAAATCATTTTAAAAGACATATTTGTTTAGCAAAACAAACAGCAAACCTACACAACAAGAATGTAGAACAAAGGAGTGCTGATGTTGGAGTAAAAAATAAGGATATCAAGTCAACAGATTCAAGTGCAGATGCAGTCACGAGTCCTTTATAAAGTCACAGAGACTCGAGTCTGACTCAGAATGTAAAATGTAGCATTAAATCAGATGGATATAAACCCCAAACTCCATACTGTGTAGTAAAATTAGAATAAAAAGGAACTAACTCAAGCTCATTCATGAACTCAGAGCGGTAGTAGCAGTGGTAAACACAGCACTGTGTGTGTGTGTGTGTTAACATATTTGTGTCAGAGACAAGGAAGCACCATTATATCAGAGATAATAAGTCTGATCTTCAAAGCGTGATGCTGTTGTAAAGCAACCAGACGCTGTTCAAACAAGCAGATGTGGGGTTGATATAATCAGACATCTGCAGAAGGCATTTTTAGCCTTTCATCTTCAAATATATTCTATCAGCCTCACCAAGACAGAAGCTGTCCTCATCTGTTGTTTCAATTGTCCACTATTTATAGACTTGTCTGCTGAGAGCAGGTAGGATGTGTGACACAGATGTTCATTATTTGGTCTACACAAGCTGTAGGACTGTATTTGTGTGATGTTAGGGGTAAAATGGCCTTTCAGCAATTTCTTAGCAGTGTCAAACACTTCCCATCTTTCTGTACTTGCTGGATGACGTTTGTATAAAGCTTCTTATCTGAGTGTCCCTCCTGTCCCCAGACCTTTTCACCACTGTATAATTTCTCATAGCTTGATGCAAACATTTCTATTTTTGTGTTTTCTTAAACAACTTTTGCATCACTAACTTTTGGGCTATGAGTATTGTATTAGGGCTGGTCGATATGGCCTAAAATCAACATCACGATATATTGAGGACTTCACCTCGATAACGATAAATGGACAATAACTACAGGTATGTACATAAAGTTGTCCACTAGATGGGGCTGTCACGTGTATTACTTTCAGTCACATTTTTACGTGACTTAAAGTGGTACAGCTAACATGAATGTTGCCAACCTACACACATCTGTTTTTTTTTTATTACCTAATTTATGGACATTTGAGCATTATCTCGATAATGGTCAGAAATTTCGATGACAATAAATTTTTGATTTATTGCTTATTAATTTGTTGTATCTATTTTCAGGAGGATGGAAAAACAAAATGTAACTCCCTTTAAATTTTAGCCAAGCCTGCCAATCAGAAGGAAGTCGAGTGTGGAATCTAAAGTGGCAGCAAATTCAAATCCGCACTGCCACAGAATAAAGAGGAGAGCTGCAGGCTCACTGTTATTCTACCATCTCTCACTGTCAAGTCCTGCACTTGTTAAGTTTACTGACAGGAGAAATTACCCTCAAAGATCTGCAGACGATGTGTCTCCTCTCAGCTATAGTAAACATAAAAGTTTCACCCATAAAACATATTTTAGGTGATATGTGTTGTTTATTTAAAGGTAATACGAATTTTACAGTCTAATGTCTCAGCCATAAATGAGATACATTGCAACAGATTTCCTATTCAGCAGCGGGCTGGAGGGGTTGTCAGTTTTTCTCTTCTATAAATGGTCAAAGAGTTGTTTACTATCAGTCCTGCCTTCATACTTCCTGGTTCCAGAGCCAATCATATTTGAGCCTGCAGGGTTGCCAAGTCAGCACTGGCACACAATGCAGTGTAGACAATTGTAATTTGATACCAGCTGGCTAAGAGTAGTGTTGTGGAAATAATATGAGTCAGTAAAAGAAGCAACCTAGAAGTTACTTCTTGTACCCCTAAGGAGCCACAGCATCTTTCCATTGAGCTCTATATCGGCATTTGAACTTATCTACTTATTGTGTATGGCAAATGCTGGGAAAATATCTTATTTGACGTTCTAATAAAGATATTTTTTTGTGAATGTAAGTAGAAACATTAATGAAAAGATAAATATTGTTCTTTAGCAATAATGAAAAAAAAATACAGTTCACCAAATATCTGCTGAGAAATATTCAGATTCAGAAATTTCATCTTCTTACACACTCTTGATAACGGTGACCTCAGTGATTGGTAATCAGTGAACAGGAAGCTGGAAAGTAACTTCTTCCTCCTCCTGCCACGGTGAAGGGCTGACGGACATTAGATCTGTGTACAGTTATAGTCTGATCCCAGATCAGGCCAAAAGCTCCAAAAGTGGAACTTGCATTATATAGTCCCTTTGAGTAACAAAATCCTACATCATCTTTAAGATATAACATTTTCCTCTAGCTTTATCAGTTACATACGCTATCACCGTATTCATTCAAGGCTACTTGATTTCTTTTATCCCGCCTATAACCAGACTCTGTTTATACTACAGAGACATCGTTCCCTCACAAGTATTTTTCAGATGAGATGAAAGACAATGTTTTGTATGAGGAAAAACAATTATATATTTATGAAGCATTGTTTCCCTTGCATGTCTGTTTAATATGAAAAATTAGGCGAAGAGTGTGTCCCTGTGGCTTTTGTTCTTCAGCCAAAAAAATCATTTTCTTAAAAACCACAGCACCAATCCATCACAAGCTCTATCTTCCCACCAAGCATCGTCCATCATTCAGTGTCCTCCAAGCTATAAGGAGTATTATCATTGTTTGTAGAGCTGGCATTTAATCATGAAGAGGTTAATTAAAGATATGCCAACAAAAAGGTGCCTGAGATCAACTGGTGGCTTGGTGCTTATAAGGCCTGAGAACTGACAGGAGAGGGCATCAGCTCCGGAGCAGGCTTTCGGCAGGTAGCCCTGTCACGTGTTTAACATATGATCCTGGAAATACATCCTTGGCTGAAAGCCGCAGTCTGAAACAAAATGGAATTTAGTTCAAGTAGCTGGCATGCTGGTGTGCTCCTTGCCTGCAGATGCCTTCTTTTAGGTACAATTAATTAAAAATAAATAGATAAATAAAAATGCAGCAAACAATGCCCTGATTGTGAAAGCAAATGTCACATTTCTGATCATCTTTTAGCAGAAAAGATCCAGTGAACTGAACATTCTCACAGATTAAGGCTATGCATGTTGTGTGCAACACCAATAAAACCGCTGTCCTTTCTGCCACCATCACCTCACCATTCTCCAGTGGCTCACGTGCCGCAGCATGCTCTGATGAGTCTTTGGAGGAAAGGAAAAATCCACCACACTGGAGTCCTGAGGGGCAGCAGCATGTGGGGGCGTTTTCCAGCTTCTGAGAAAAGGATGTTGCTCCCAGCTTCAGCCGGATGAGGCAGATTTAATGAGAAAAGAAAGGAATGAGACCTGAATCAGGCTGCCCCTGTTATTTCAAAATTGTATTTGATTAATTGGTGTTAGTAACATGAATCTTCTGTGATGATTTTTTAACTGGGGAAGTGGGAAAATAAAGCTGCTTTACTGACTGAATGTCTTATTTTTCATATGTTAAACTTCAAATCCAATCCTTGTATGCAGTTTAACACAGAAGATGATCTGCTGCTTTAATTTGGTCATTAATCTTCAATGGTCTGCTTTCCTTTTTCTTTTATAAGTAAGATAGGTTACACATGAGGCTATAACTGGGGCTTCCTTTCAGTGTTTGGTCTGCTGTCACCCGGAGGACAAATCAAGCATCTCATGCGCTCAGCTGTGCGCGCGCAAGGGGTGAAGCCTCGAGAAAAGGGCATCACAAGACGAGGAACACCCCCCACTGTAAATACGCAGTAGAGGAACACGGTAGCTTTGGTGTGAGAGCTCATTTTCTATGGTTTAGAGGCAAGCGGGGACCTTTCAACGTCTGGAATCCTGCTCCGGATCATCGTGGAGCCACAGAGGCACACAATGTAGTGGCGAGACAGGGGGCATCTCCGGGGGAGAGATCTGGGGATGCGCGGAGTCGGGAACCAAACAACACTGGACATGCGCTCAGAAAGTGGGTAAAAGAGAGTTTTGGGGGACACAGGATGGACACTGCGGAGGTGATCCTCTCCGTGTTGATGGTAGTGATCATCGTTGTGTCGTTGCTGTCCAACGTCCTAGTGCTGATCTGCTTTGTGTACAACCCAGAGATCCGCAAGCAGGTCCCGTGTCTGTTCAACCTCAACCTCACCTTCTGCAACTTGTTGCTGACCGTGTCCAACATGCCGCTCACTTTGGTGGGGCTTGTCAGCAAGGCTCAGCCGGGGGGAGACGGGTTTTGTCAGATCGTGGGCTTCCTGGAGACATTTCTGTCCACCAACTCTATGCTGAGCATGGCAGCCCTGAGCATCGACCGGTGGATCGCAGTGGTGTTTCCCCTGAGGTACCACTCCAAAATGCGCCACAAGGACGCAGCGTTTGTTCTCGGGTACACGTGGGCGCACTCCATGTCCTTCTCCACGGTGGCCACCTGCCTGTCCTGGGTGGGTTACCACCGGCTTTACGCGTCCTGCACCCTGTCCAACCCGAGGGCGAGCAGTCGGACACAGTTTGTCATCTTCACCGTGTTTTTCCACTCCTTCACCTTTCTCCTGTCTTTTATAGTGTTATGTTTCACATACCTCAAAGTCCTTAAAGTGGCGCGGTTCCACTGCAAGAGGATCGACGTTATTACCATGCAAACTTTGGTGCTGCTTGTGGATATACACCCCAGGTGAGCTCAATAGGGTTTCTTCTTTATAATCCTTTACTCTGCAGTTTGCTCTGAGCATTTGTGACCAGAGCATCCAGGTTCACCTGACGGTTGCTTATTCGTTTGAAAGGAATTACGAGGTAAAAGAACAAAATGTTCAGTTTCATTGGGATAACTCAGTTTTCCCTCTGGTCAGTTAATGTATGGAGCACCGATTGAAAAGCACTCTATTACAAATATCATATACGTTTAGCTACATTTTAGAAAATAAAAATAAACATTTAGAACCAAATCTAAATGTAAAACGTATATTTATCTTAATTTTAAATAAAATTAAAAAATGTAAACGTAAATCAATTTAGAAATATATAAATATAGTAACATTATTTATTATGTATACATTTTAAGTCAACCCTTCATATGAATCAATCAATCAAAGATACTTTATTAACCCCAGAGGGAAATTCGAGTTTCAGTACGCACAATTCAGAGATCAGACATACATGGGCAAGACACATGACAAGAAATGGTGACTGTGGTCATTCGCAACCATGAGTCGTGCTACCTTAATAGAAACAATAGGGGTTTACATGAGGATTGGTTCAGGTGGAGGGAAAAAAGGCACTTCAGAGCTACCCTCCATAGGGAGGGCAGCTTTGCGCTGCAAAAAACAACAAAAAAAACCCACCTCAAACATATATGCAACAGACTTCAGACATCACACAACATAAGTGTCCACTAGGTGGGGTGAAATCAAACCTTTACATAAAAAATTATGAATATATTAAACCCATTATTCAAATAAATTTAAATTAAATCTGAAAATAAAAAGTTATCAAATCTAAATATGCAAAGTTAAATTTGAATACTCGAACTCGTTTTTTAATCAAAAGTTTGATTTGATTTAATTTGATTGAAATTTAAATGAAGTTAAACATAACTTTTTTTTATCAATTCTAATTATTTGGCAAACATGCTAATCCGTCCTATTGTATATCCTATCAAAATAAAAGTGGGGTGAAAAGACTCCTTATCTAATTCTTGAAAGTCTTTAATGCAACGGTTGTGCTGAGTCCGGTTAGCCATGAGAGTAATGTTCAGGGAGAGCCCATAGGAACAGATAACTGATCTACAGTTGAGTGGATTCATAATCTTATCCTAAAAACAACATATTGGATTTTAGATATTGCATCTCTTCTCCACACTTCTATTTTGTCGACCACTTTTGTTTTACAGCAGCAAATTTGCATGTTAGACAAACAAAATTCTTAAACCATCATATTTAGAACTACTTGTGTTGATTTTTAAATCAAGATGATTTTTTATATTTCTAAGCATAACATTTTTCTTTATGATTAAATATGTTGTTGCATAAACAAATTTGATGAAATAGTTTAAACCTGGGCTGCACAGTGCGTAGCGGTTAGCGCTGTTACTCCTACAGCTAGAAGGTCCTGGGTTCGATTCCCGGCCTGGGATCTTTCTGCATGGAGTTTGCATGTTCTCCCTGTGCATGCGTGGGTTCTCTCTGGGTACTCCGGCTTCCTCCCACAGTCCAAAATCATGACTGTTAGGTTAATTGGTCGGTCTAAATTGTCCTTAGGTGTGAGTGTGTGAGTGTGTGCATGGTTGTTTGTCCTGTGTGTCTCTGTGTTGCCCTGCGATGGACTCTGTCCAGGGTGTACACCGCCTGATTGCCCGTTGACCACTGGAGATAGGCGCCAGCCCCCCCCCCCCCCCCCCCCCCCCCCCCCCCGTGACCCTAGTGGACAGGCAGGTTCAGAAAATGGATGGATGTGCTCAAACCCTATTCTATTGTTACAGTGAGCAGGCTGCTAATGTCTTAACGTATCATTTTACAATTGGTGCCCTATAGTTAATGATGCTTTGGTTTCCTCTGACATTTGAATTATGTTCTCTGTATTCAGACAGCATGCACAAACCTAACTCAATTTAAATGTCACAGAGACTCATTGCATTGCTGCTCTAGTAGCAAGAACCCTGCATGCCTGTGTGTGTGCATGTGCACATGCATGTTTGTGTGAGTTCAGTTACATAGCTTAAAACGCCTCTCCATGAGGTGTATGCTGGCATTTTTAATCCTACCTGTCAAATTCGTTACATTTTCAAACATTTTACTTAAAGCATTGTGACATCGTGACATTTTGGTGATGGTGCATTTAGAGTTCACAAACAATAACCAACGTCTGAGCATTTTCTTAGACTGAGAATATTTTGAACCAGCCTAACCTCTTCAGGTCTGTCACATCGATCAAAAGTTCTCACAGTTTATTATTGTTCTCCTCCAATCACTGAACTTTCCTTGCTGTCAGTGTTCGGCAGCGTTGCCTCGAGGAGCAGAAGAGGCGACGGCAGAGAGCAACGAGGAAGATCAGCACCTTCATTGGCACCTTCATGCTCTGCTTTGCTCCTTATGTGATCACAAGGTGGGTGTTTAGAGATGGGATCCATGGCTGGCACACATGACCCATCGGTTACCTCCCTGCAGGAGCTGACCCACCTCCACCCCCTTCCTCTTCTCACAGCCAAATTCTGAAGATGAGATTGGCTGAGCTTGTGATAAGTAATACACCTTAGTTCTGCTGCTGCATTAGCTCTTTTTCTTCTCAAGTTCGTTGGGTGCATTCCTGTTTGTCAGAATCCACTTGCATCGATCACTGCCCGTAAGGATTCTAAGGTGATGCACACGAATGATGGCCAAGTTTAACGTTAAGATAAAGAAATGAGATTATTAACAAAATGTCGAGTTCAGCAAAAGAAAAGAAATTAATTAATTGGAACAATAATTAAATAATTATATTTCCAAATTCATTTTTGTTTGCCCAGGAGATTGACCTCTTAGGAAAAGACTCAGTCATTTTCATCACATTCCAATTCAGATTCCAAAGATAGTGTTGCAGTGAAAAATACACATAGTGGTAAAAGGAACTCAGGCTCTCCTTTTCGAGTGATGTTTTATTATTTAAAGTTAAACATGATGTTGCTCACTGAAATACGTCAGGGTCATTTTGTGTGCCAGTTCTGTGTAGTGTGACAGCTAATATAACCTCTTGCTCGCTCTGTAACTGGAATGACTGGAGTAAACGTCAGTGAAGCCTCGTGGCCCACAAGGCTCGTGTTAATGTGCTGACCAAGCTTCACAGTGGACACAGTAATCATACAAAGTGCAGTAACACAGGATCCGTCATTTTTACACACCTTTTTATGACACCACATAAAAAGCGAGAGTATAAAATTCCAAAATAATATATTTCCTGTATTTACAGACATCAGCTATGAGAAGCAGATGCAGGCATGAAACTAAGTCATTCATTATACAATATTGACTTAATTTACATAAACATGTTGACTTAATTTGTGTTTCAGAACTTTTCTAATTGGAGTAAAAACGTGTTTCTTCCAAGCCATTTCAAAGGTACAATATGTGAGAATTCTACAGTGAAACAATAACAAAACAGCCTAAAATCTCCATCATGTTGGAAGGAAGGTTACATTGCAACAGATATCATTCTCAGCCAGCTGGGGTGTGTGTGTGTGTGTGTGTGTGTGTGTGTGTGTGTGTGTGTGTGTGTCAGTTTTTCATCTTTCGAAAGAATAAAGTAAAATATAAAAAAAGGAAGTAGCTACTGTTTACAATCAGCAAGTTTGTGAGGTTACCTTGTCTCCGATGAGCTAACACCGACCGGCAAAAAGCTCCAGAGTTATTTAAAGAACCAAAGCCGGTAAACAGGAAGTACCCAGAAGGTATTTCTTGTACCCCTAGAACGTAAAGTTCTGGTTGGAATATGGGTGGCAGCTAAGAGATGTTGGAGGGAGCCATACAGTGGAAGGTATTAAAAAACAAAAAGTAAAATTTCATAATGTCTCCTATCCTATCTATATTGCCACCTTACAGTGGTGGAGGAGTTTAATCCTCTGGAGGCAGGCATTGCAGATTTGCAACAGTTAAAACCTACCTACCTGGTTACTCCACATACGTATTTGTGAGCATTTTTTAACTCAGAAGTACCCCTGAAGGACTTAGTTGTTTGTCCTTTTATCAACACTTATTTTGAGCCTGAGAGGGTTAAGTGTCCCAATGATCCTGGGAGCTAAGTTGTTTTAGGTGTTATGCCTCTGGTAGGGTCACCCAAGGCAAACAGGTCCTAGGTGAGGGATCAGACAAAGTGCAGCCCTTAGACCCCTTATGAGGAAAAAACATTTATTTCTGGAGAGGAGGGTCTATCGGATTGTCAAACCGTGGATTCGGGAGGAACATTGTTGTTTTCATCCTGACTGTGAAACACTGGACCAGCTCTGTACCCTTTAGGGGGATCCTGGAGGGTGTGTGGGAGTTTCCCCAACCAGTCTATATGTGTTTTGTGGATTTGGAGAAGGTGTTTGACCGCGTCCCTCAGGGGGCCCTGTAGGGGTACTCTGGGAGTATGAGGTACCAGGCCCTCTGATATGGGCAGTTAGGTCCCTGTATGACCGGTGTCAGAGCTTGGTCCGCATTGCCAACAGTAAGTCGAGCTCATTTCCGGTGACAGATGAACTCCGCCAAGGCTGTCCTTTGTCACCGATTCTGTTCATAACCTTTATGGACAGGATTTCTAGGCGCAGCCAAGGTGTGGAGGGGATCTGTTTTGGTGGCCTGAGGATCAGGTCTCTGCTTTTTGCAGATGATGTGGTCCTGTTGGCTTCATCAGAACGTGATCTCCAGCTTTCGCTGGAGCGGTTTGCAGTCGAGTGTGAAGCAGCTGGGATGAGAATCAGCTCCTCTAAATCTGAGACCATGGTCTTGAATCGGAAAAGGGTAGAATGCATTCTCCAGGTCAGGGACAAGGTCCTGCCTCAAGTGGAGGAGTTTTAGTTTCTCGGAGTCTTGTTCATGAGTGAGGGAAGGGTGGAGTGTGAGATCTATAGGATTGTTGTTGAGTCTGCGGTACTGTGGGCATTGCACCGGTCTGTCGTGGTGGAGAGAGAGCTGAGCCGGCTTGATTTACCAGGCGATCTAGGTTCCAACTCTCACCTATGGTCATGATCTTCAGCTAGAGATAGGGTGAGAAGCTCGCTCATCCGGGAGGGGCTCAGAGTAGACCCGCTGCTCATCCCCTGTTACAATGTGTTGTTGAAATGTGAAGGAAGGGGTAACATAAAAATATGGCAGTGGATTGAAATGGGTTTAATTGCCATAAAAGGTTTTAAAACAAGCGAGCAAACAGATGGAGAGCATTATAAAAATAATGCAAGACAAAAAAGTCTCAAAAAGTTTAACGATTAAAAGACAACTTGTGAACAATTAAAACACCTGGTTAAAACTTTGTTAAAAGTTTTACCGAAGCTGAAGGTGTTTTAAAACACAACAAAGTAGATAAAAGTCTTCAAACCAAAACAGAGTTAACCTTAAAATGGAGTCAACCACGTTGACATCAACCAAAGAGCCCTATGGATCACTCAGTTTTACCCTTTAAAACTCATCAGCTCAGAGTTAAAACTTTAGAAGTTAAAACGTATCCATTCGAAGGGGTTCAAAACAAAATCTGAGGCCAGGAGGACAGCAGAACCCCTGCACTGCTGCCTCCCGGACTGCTGAAGGCACAGCCTATCCCAGGTGTGGGTCATCAGAGGGATTCAGGTCAGCTGTGATCCTCAGCAGCCTGGAGTGGTGATCACCAGAATGAGGGGTGATCGAGCTGATCACCAGTGCTGGGTGATCCTGGCTCCTGCATCCAAATGGCCAGGCTGGTGCCCATAACATCCCCGTTGAGAGGAGCCAGTTGAAGTGGCTTGGGCATTTGGTCAGGATGGTAAATAGTAAATGGCCTGTATTTGATATAGCACCTTCTGGAGGCGCTTTACAACACAATCAGTCAATCACACATTCACACACTGGTGGGGATAAGCTATGATGTAGCCACAGCTGCCCTGGGGTGCACTGACAGAGGCAAGGCTGCCGAGCACTGGCACCACCGGTCCCTCCAACCACCACTGGCAGGCAACATGGGTTAAGTGTCTTGCCCAAGGACACAATGACAGCGACAGACTGAGCGGGGCTCGAACTTGCAACCTACCGATTACAGGGCGAGCACTTAACTCCTGTGCCAGTGTCGTCCACATGATGACAGGATGCACTTGGACGCTTCCCTGGTGAGGTTTTCTGGTCACGTCCAACTGGGTGGCCCAAGAGAAGACCCAGGACACGCTGGAGGGACTACGTTTCTCAGTTGGCCAGGGAACACATTGGGATACTGGTCAGGATAGAGGTGAAATGGAGGATCTGTGATCCAAACTCAGTAGTCATAGATTGTATCCAGGTCAGAAACAGAGCAGATATAAACCGTGGCAAACAGATCCATAGTCCCGTGTGCAGAGATAAAGTCAAAAAGATCGGGCAAGGTTCAGAACACAAGACAAACCTAATGTATAAAAAGAGGAGCAGGCTAGATTAGTGGTCAGCAAGACAAACAAGTTTGTTACTCAACAGAAGCATGGACATGGACCACTAAGAACAGGCTTGAAAAAAAGACAATCAGACACTGGAAAATGGGAATCGTGAGTTTAAATATCTCAGACGCAGGTAGGAATCAGTAATCAGTTCCACCCACGCAGATGGAGAACTATAAACTAGGCTTAAAGGAGGAACATGGATGGGTGTGGCCAGAGGAAGCATATAGTAACAGAGATCAACTGAAACATGACAAGCAGCAAGTTTTCCCACAAAATCTGAGTCTAGCATATCACAGGGTGAAATTAGAGCTCCTCCTGCATGGTCCTAAGCTGCAGCGCTTAGCTGTCTACTTCGTTATGGTGTCTGTTCACAATTATTGCTTTCATCTACCCTTCTCCCAGACATAGCCATATGAGCCCTCTGCTGTTTAAGAGGCGATTTATAGCCATCAACAGTGTGTTTGCATTTACTGTAGGTGAGACTATAAACTGGAGAAGGAAAATTCAACTTGGCAGTTGTCAGAAATGTCTTTAACAGATTAAATATAAAAATGTAAAGATCAGTAACATTCTCTAGTTCTTTTTCATTTCGGCTCATGTCAGAGTTGCACCACATTTGCATTATTTCAAAATTTAGTGCTAAGTGTTTTTCTACTATTAAGCTCTGGGCATGCATGTTGAACTGTCCCTCCTCCACTGGCTCTCATCATCCTCTCTGTATGCTCGCCTGCAGGATCGTGGAGTTATTTCCAGCAGTGCCTATCAACCCTCACTGGGGGATTGTCTCCAAGTGCTTAGCTTACAGCAAAGCCGCCTGCGACCCCTTCGTGTACTCCCTGCTACGACACCAGTACAAAAAGACATGTATGGACATCGTCAACAGGCTGCTGAAACGCAGCTCCTCAAACGAATCAGGAGGCAGGCTGGAGAACCAGGGCAACAGCATACCGACAGCAGAGTGACGGAGAGGCACTGATGAAACACAGCCTCATGGTTGACCCGGCTGCTGCGAGGGGAAATATGAACCTGATTCATTGTTTACGAAGATGAGAATGAATATTGCTTTTTCTTGTCCAGATCTGCGTGAATTTGGTCTGACGTGACAAAAAAAGAAAGAGGGGAACGAGTCACTGCAGACAAGGGCAAACTTCTGCACAGGAGGAACAACACAGAGTGCTCAGAGCAGCAGATCAGAGCAGTGAACCTGCTGTGAGGACAAAAAACTGCAGATTTCACATCCAGCTGGAAAAACAGATGTGTTCACACAGGAATTCTGGACAGTTAGCTCTCATTAGTACAAATAAGGTACATTTCATTCAGTATACAGTGTCAATTTTATGTATTTTATAGTATACTTGTTTTGATATATAAGTATTTATTTGTCTAATCTTTAAAACTGCTGGGAGTCTGTGCACAGTGTTTGCAAGTGACTAAGTGATACTAAATTTGCTAATGTAGCACTTAAACTAGCTAAACTAAAACCATAGCATAGTGCTTGACCTATTTATTGTACATTTCAGAAAAGAAGACATTCCCTTTTAGCTTTACACCTATAAACAAATTAATTATTCAAGAGGGTCTCAGACCATTTTATTGACTTGGCCAGCCCGAGTTTGAAGTGGGAAAATAATGATAAAATCAGCTGTTTTTGCTGGTGTCATTGTCCTTGATAGTATATGGATAAATGGACTGTCAGCAAGTGTAGTATGAAGGACTTACACACCCAACAACTTGAAAGTTTGGTTTAATTCTAGTACATAAAGAGTTAATGACAATTCATTTTGTTCAACATGTTTTTCACATTGTGAAGGAAAACAAAACTGCATCAATAATCACTAGACTGGCAAAAAACGGAAAACTAAACCGGGAAGCTTCCCTATCCAATGATTGTTCACTTATTTTATATTTGTAGATGTTAGATTTGAATAAACTAACATTTTAACACCACTTTAGCATCTTAGATTAGTTCTTGTTTTAGGGGTTCAAATAGAAAATCCTTTTCTGCTGAAAGTGTGAGTTCCACTTAAAAAACTTTTCTTCAGTATTTCCTTTTCTCCACAATTAAAAGTTTCAGATCAGCAAATTCCCATATCAAACAAAGATGATCTGAGTAAAAACAAAATGCATAAAAAAAATCTATGGTTTCATATATTGAGGGAAAAAAAATCTATTCAAACCAACTCCAGCTTATGTGACAAACGATAATGTCATTCTGAGTCGATGCAGCAAATCAGGTCACACTACCACCACCATGTTTGACTGCTCTTTATCTGAAATGGTGTCTTAGTTTTACTTCAGATTTAATGGGATATAAGCAGCTTCTGAGAAGTTCTACTTTTGTCTCGATAGTACACAGAATATTTTCCCTGAAGTCTTGGGGATCACCTAGATGCTTTGTGGCAAATGTGAGATGGGCTTCAGTGCTTTCTTTGGTCAATAGATGTTTGGGCCTTGAAACTTTCCAACGATTTGACGTGATTTGTTCTTGACTTTCTTTATAACTGGATACGATGTGTTGATTTTTAAGGTCTTTTAGGCTACTCAGTGTTGTCAGACAGGTTATGTTGAAGTCAGTGCCTAATTTCACAGGTCTGGTAGTCATCAGGTCAGGGTGTGACCAGTAAAACTGAATTCAGGTTTCCAAATGGCATGGCTGATCACAATTAATTCACAACTTAAACAGGAAAATGTGTGCTAAACTTACCTTTTGCATTCTCTTGTGTTGCCATGTGTGTCTTTACTGCCTCCATAAACACTTCAAACCTGGAAAAAAAACATCTATCCATCTAAGTTTGGTTTTGAAAATTATCTGTCCAATACAAGGCGTTTCAAAAGGTCCCTGTTTGTGATGTCACAAATGGGGAAATTAGAATAGAACCACCTCTCACGTGCCACACAGAGCTGCTGCTGGAGGAGCAGCAAATCTACTCTGATCCCCTCTCCGATATCAGAGCTTTGCAGCTTATAGCAGCCTGAGCAGGGATTGGTGGGTGTGGCCAGCTCTAGCTTGTTTTCTTTAAGTAACAGTGCCCTGAAATGGCTCATTCTGGAAGGCACTGAAACTGTCAAGAATAAAACTGCAGAAATCACTTCACATGAGAGATTTAGTGAAAATAACTAATTAAGATGTTTTGTATTGACCATAGAACTATTATAGCTTAAGAAAAAAGTCATGATATGCCTCCTTTAAGAAGTGGGGTGGGATTTAACAATTGCAAGATCACTATTATTGTTCCGATTACAGGTGGTGACTTACACATTGGTAACTGGATCCTTGCAGAAGTTTTTTTTGTCCACTAAATAGAAACATCTGCAGAAATACCTGGAGCACATTATCCAATTAAAAAACAACAACAGCTATTATTTTTCATCAAAATTTTAAATAAGGTCAAACGGATTAATGCATTTCTATCATCTTCCTTTCTTTGCTAATGTTCATAGTACCTGCTGAAACAATTTGTAGTACAGAAAATAATCATTTCCTCAATAAAAAAACGTAAAGGTTAAGACTTTATTCTGGAAGAAAATCATAATTTGTTGATAAGAAGCTGGAACGGGAGGACATTTTTCTCATATGTCAGTTATTAAACTTCTTCATTAGCTGGTATGTTTGTTATATTACTCCTTCACGGTTAACATGTTCCAGCACTTTTGCAAACATGCAATCTTTTTGTAGTTCAGTAATTCTGTCCACAACATTTTCTCAAACATGAGTGGTTATATTTTCCAGAGCAGCTTTTCTTACAAAAGTATTTAACTAAATCTTTCATGTTGTCGTTTTTGTGTTCCAGATAGCTTTTGGGTGTCAAGTAGCTGTAGAAGGTTTACAGTGTGAACTTTTTATTCTTACAATGAATAGCTGTGAATATTTCTAAAGATCCATTTCTTCTGCTGTAGCCTCTCGTAGCTTTTGGGGGTTTATGGCCTAAAGATTGTTCTAAATGTGCCCCTTTAGTCTTATCAGGATTCAGGCAGCTTTGCATGAGAGGGTTTTTACTTTAAACAAGGTTAAATGTTGGAAACAAAGTTTTACACACACACACACACACACACACACACACACACACACACACACACACACACACACACACACACACACACACACACACACACACACACACACACACACACACACACACACACACACAGACACACACACACACACACACACACACACACACACACACACACAAACACACACACACACACACACACACACACACACACACACACACACACACACACACACACACACACACACACACACACACACACACATTGTTCTTAATACATTTGAATTCAGACAAAGTTGGATTAATTTATTGACAAAAGAAAAAGTGAAAAGTGCCAAAATTGTGGTTGATCATTTAAAAGTCAAACTCCAGTTTAGAAAAATAATCGAAAGCTTTTTTTGGTGAATACAACATTTTGTTACACTTCAAGACAACTGATGCCTTACCTTGGATATGTTTTTGCTTTATTTGAACATAGAAAATGTGTATTCAGATGATGTACAGATAGAGTCAATAACTGCCTTATTTATTAGTGTCACTACTGTAACATCTGCTTGTGTAAAACCATGGTGAGTTCTTGCTGATGCACATTATTTATCTTTATTTAAGAGAAAATGTAAATTTGAACTAACACGTGGACAGATTTAAATAAGAACTGTATTTTTGGCTTTTGATAATTGTAATTTCTAACACTATAACTGTCTGAGTTTCACAGAACGTGCTGCTTTAAATGTAAATGAAGTCTTAATTGTTGAGTTTAGGTCAAACTGAGCTGAGTTAAATATACCTCGTTTTGGGTTTCTGGTGACTGACTTGATTGCCTCAAGTGTTTTGTTATGAATTTCTTAAACCTTGACTTGAAACTGCTGCTAAAGGAGGCGACAGCGAAGTGAATATTTGGTCATGATGGGTTTTGTTTATTATTATTATTGTTTTGTCATGTTGATAAAGTTGATCATAAACCCACTCTGAACCTACTTGGCCTCCTTCTTTTCCCTCGTGCGACCATGGAAAATACATCAGTTATATTCTGCTTTTATTCTAGCACTGCATCTACAAGGACATGAAATAATCATCTGCGCTTAAAATAACCTCAGATGACATTTGGCTGTTCACTCAAAGATCCAAACTAAAATGCTGCACCAGAGCATGAAAAATACAGACACCCAAAAAAGAAAAGAATAAATACACACTCTTGCTTTTACTAGAAATTTAAGGCTTTTGCATGAAAAAAGCTAAACAAAACAATAACCTTTAATTCAGTGCTTGAATACACAAGTCTTGTGTTCGTTCCTGTTGATTTAAATGGGAAGCATAATCAGACACATGCATTATGACTCCATTATTTAAAAATATTGTGCTGAATGAAAAACAGTTGCTTTTCCAGTGGGATGCAAAGGTTTGGACAGTCTTGATAATCTTCTTGATGTTCCTGTAATAATAGGTTTGTTGTTTTGATAAAAAATATATCGAACAGGACTCAGGAGACACACTCAGTGATATTTGAGAAGTGAAATGAAATGTATAGGATTTACAGAAAGTGTGTGCAAAGCATGCATTGACATTTCCTCCTTTTAGACTGAAATAGTTTACCTGTTACTTGCATAGACATCAACATATGGTGTCTTTGTGTAATGGTAGCTTGTCCAAACAGTGGTCGGCTGATTGGTTCTTGTCTTGTCTAGTCCTGCCTGTTCCATTAGCTGACTGGTTCTTTTGTCCATTCCTCCCACCATTACTGTCCATTTTCGTTATCGTCTTTTATTCATTGACTAAAAATGCTGATCAGTGTTCGTGAAGTAGTTTAATTTTCACCCAAAATCATTCACCATCAAAAACAAATAAAATCAACACTGGATCGGATGCGGTGGGGTAAACATCTTCTCTGACTGCAGCTCGGATCGGCCGCTGAAGGAACGCTGAAGGAACACTTTTGGATGGGAGAGGAGCCAACGACAGCACTGCTGCTCAATGAGAAAGGTAGGCTGTGTGCTTAATGTCAGAGTCTCCAAAAGAAAAAAAACTGCTCACGCCTGCTTTTGTTTACCAACTCGTGGCACATAGGTAGGATACCACAGTGTTCCCCGTGCCTCTTTAACAGACCCACCCATGTGCTTGGAGACATCCGTGTTATTGAAGGCTGTGTAAACAAAACCTGGCTGCTTAAGGATGAGCTGTCCCCACCAGGCTGAAGTAAAACTGACCATAAAATGAGTCTTGGTGTGAATGTGTGCATGCATGGTTGTGTTTGTCTCTGTGCAGCCCTGTGATGGACCGGTGACCCATCCACGTTGGATTCTCACTCAATTACTGAATCAAATCAGAGCTTCTGCTCTTGTTTTGGTGACAGTTCATAGGTCATCCAAGACTTTTCCACAGTACATCTCATTTGCTGCAAAATTCAGATTTTTGTGAGGTAAACATTGATTTGTTTAAACATAAAAAAAGTCTGTGTTAACTTTGATATTTGGCATCCTGACATCTGACTCAAGGAGAATGACTGAATATAGCAGAGAATTCGGAGTTTGAGGAGATGTTTTTCATCATGCTTTTTTACACAGAAGATTTACTAACACAGCTGAGTTGGCCTTGGTTGGTTCAGGAGATTTAGTGATAATGGTATCTATATTCACCATTCAAATAGGACTGGAGTAAATCAATCACTGTGTGATGCATCCATGTTTGGGAGATAAATTAGATCTTTAGAGGTATTGATGAATTTAAGAATACGTCAGTGAAGGGTAAGAAGAGTCCAAATGGGAAGGTTTGACAGGAGTTATACGTCTTCGCATATCTGCAGCCATTCTCTCCATTTCCACCTGCACTCCATGTGAGTCCAAGGGAAGCAATTTCTCTGTTCACACCACGATACAGGTGGTAATGAAACAACATCAGTGGCTCACTGAGAGAGCCTCAGCCGTAAATGGCTGAGGTTGTGCACACTGATTACCTCCACAGGAATCAATGGTTATCATCGGGTGGGTGGCACTGACCGTGACACGCGGCTTAATCTTGGCTAGCTTCAGCCCACTTGTCCCAATGACACCCCCAGAGCCACAAATAAAACACAACTCAAAGTGAAAAACATAGGAAAGCTGTTTTTCCTCTTTATGGGGCCTCTGCTTTGTAACAGGTTTAAAGATTGGAGTGAATTGTGCTTAGAAACATTGCCAGTAAATATACTCTTAAGTCATTTGGTGAAGACATGCAGTAACGGTTTTTATTTTCACTTGTGTGAACTTACTTGGACACCAGAAAAAGCTGAGAAATGTCTGTTCTGATGCTGCAAACCTGAGATAAAACTGATGAAATGCAATTTCAGTGATGTTAGAGAATGAATGTAAAGCTTATTGTTCTTTCACTTAAACATGATGTATAAAAATGCAAAATTCAGCTATGAGACTTTAAAGTTAATTAAATTAATCTGAAGTAACAAACTAAATAGTTTCCCTGAATAGTTGTGTCCCAGATTAAGAAACAAAACTCTGATGGGTTTGTGGAATGAAGAGTGCTTCTATTTGGTGCCCTTATTAACCTACGGTCTCGATCCCTCCATCTCCTACACATCTTTGGGGGGCAGATCTGTGGCCCCTCACACTCTCTATTGGCCGCTCCTATAGAGAAACCTTACATATACAAACGTATGTACACACACAGGTGCTCACATGGTGCTCTCATTAGTATGGACTTGGGCATGTTCAACACATGTCTCAAGGCTGTGGTTGGCACTAAATGCACTGTGATTTATTATCGTGTGATTGTTCAGTAAAACAATGTTGATTTTATATTTTCTCATCAAGTTGACACAGTGATAGCTTGCTCCTGTTGTATTGTTGTGTGTCCCTTTTGTGCAGGTCTAGAAGCAGACCCCTGTTTATCATTGATTGTTTATCTTTGTGGACCCGCCTCTTTTTGTCTCTTCCTTTCTCTTTCACCTCTGTTTCCGTGTCTGGTCGGAATTACAAAGCATTCAAAAAACCAATAACAATAAAGTTTTAAGTATCAGGCATGAAATTAACAGCAGAAGCTTTCATCCTCCACCTGAGAGTAAACGCTTGTCACCAGCATTCAGACATTAATTCTGTTTGCTTCACAGCCAGATAGGACACAAAAAATAAATAAATAAAAATAAAAAAAAACTACGGTCTTGATCACATCAGCTGCATGGTGCGATGAAGGCTCAACTAGAGAGATGAAAATTAACAAACACACACACACACACACACACACACACACACACACACACACACACACACACACACACACACACACACACACTCCTGCGGAGAAACAGTGTTTCCATAATTTTAATTGCAGTTTTTACAGCAAAAGATGGATTTAATAAATGTGAAAACAAACTAATATGTTTATTTCTAAGGTAAATATGCAATTTGCATTGTACACTACCATAAACAGTTATTTACTTACCCACTTAGAACAGAACTGGTCTAAAAAAACAGCAGCAGTTTCTGACATCAACAAGCATGGAAAACTGGTCACACACACACACACACACACACACACACACACACACACACACACACACACACACACACACACACACACACACACACACACACACACACAGCAAGGGCATGGGGTGGGTGGGTGGGTGGGGGTTTGGAAAACAATAGGCGTTAGCAGAAGTGCTCGTTGAAAACCTCTGTTAGCGTCGGTTAGCTAGGTTAGCTCAGTTAGCTCAGTCAGCTCATGGCTGGGAACAACGGTGGACTGAGATCCTTAGAGTTACGCTCTGAGCTCCACCTCTTTGCTCATTTTTGTATTGTCCAGGAGTGTTGAGGCGCGTGACATGGCCAAGATGATGGTGCTTGGAACTGCCCACCTAGCTTCAACTGAGCCTTTTAGAAACATGCATATGACATCACAAAGGACTTGTCCAGTATTTCTACAATCCTTGTTCACATTATAAAAGAAGATTCAAATAAAATATTGTAACTGGGATGCTGTATGTGGATGGTTTAAGGAAAGGTAGTTGTTTAAAATGACAAAGTGTAGTTTTTACC